AGGGAGATTTCTTGTGTCTGTGTCTTCATGCGCTCATTTTGTCTTTCCAATTATAGGAGGCTTATGTGCAGAAAATGGTAAAAGTATGCAATGATTCAGACCGATGGAGTCTCATCTCCTTGTCCAACAACAGTGGCAAAAACGTGGAGCTGAAATTCGTGGACTCTCTGAGGCGGCAGTTTGAATTCAGTGTCGATTCCTTTCAAATCAAGCTGGACTCCCTGCTGCTTTTTTATGAGTGCTCAGAGAATCCGATGACCGAAACTTTTCACCCGACTATCATTGGTGAGAGCGTCTATGGGGATTTCCAGGAAGCCTTTGATCACCTCTGCAACAAGATAATCGCCACCAGAAACCCAGAAGAAATCAGAGGAGGCGGGCTGCTGAAGTACTGCAACCTTTTGGTAAGGGGCTTTAGGGCTGCCTCTGAATCCGAGATTAAGTCCCTGCAGAGATACATGTGTTCGAGGTTTTTCATTGACTTCTCAGACATTGGAGAACAGCAGAGAAAGCTGGAGTCCTACTTGCAGAACCACTTTGTGGGATTAGAGGACCGCAAGTATGACTATCTCATGACCCTTCACGGTGTGGTGAATGAGAGCACAGTGTGCCTGATGGGACATGAGAGGAGACAGACTCTGAATCTGATCACCATGCTGGCCATCCGGGTCCTAGCCGAGCAAAATATCATCCCCAATGTGGCCAATGTCACCTGCTATTACCAGCCAGCCCCATACGTGGCAGATGCCAACTTCAGCAATTACTATATTGCCCAGGTTCAGACCGTGTTCCCTTGCCAGCAGCACACATACTCTACTTGGCTGCCCTGTAATTAAGGACGGGAAATTAGTAGACCCGGTGGGGAGAACGTTTTCTTAAGACGTAGGAAGGGGCAACGCGTCCCTTTGGAATGGGGTGTTTTGTGCAATGATGATCTGCTCTAGTTTTCAAGCTTGGGAAAAGCTTGTGGTTCTTCTAATAAATAACGGGAGCATGATCGAGAAAGAACCCCAAAATAATTGGATCCTACCCCAGAGCACAAGAGGCCTGTCATTAAAAGCAACCAGCTTTCCCTGAAATAAGTGAGGGAGGAATGCTTGATGACAATATGGGTTGGCAATATCTGCTCCCATAGCTTTGGCATAGAGAAGGTGGGAAAGCCTTATTTTCTTTTATTTTTATTCTTACTCTAGAATGGGATCTGCAAAAGGGAGACTATGAAAGAAACAAAACAAACAAAAAAAAACAACAAAAAGAAAAAAATTCACAAAAAACAATTCTATATGTATTCAGGAAATTAAAAGTTAGAGGCATAAAGCAGAGATAAGCTGAATAAAAATGTATATTGGAATTACTGCATTTGGGGCTTGCAGCAAGTGCCGTCTATGGATTGACCGTGTAGAATGTATAGCTTGCTTGACTAGAACGCTTTACCAGAAACAGCTTGCTCCAAATGAACAGTAGTGGATTGGTACAGTTACAAAAGCAGAAACACGTACGATGACAAAGTCCATTATTTCCAGCTGCGTGCATGCCTCACATTTTAAAAATGTGAGAATGCAGGAAAACCAGCTGAGGCAAAACAGAATACGCTCAAGGACCAAAGATTTCACAAATAAGTTATCCGAGCAAAGAAGATACAGCAGAGTGTATATATATATATATATATATATATATAAAAGAAAAGAAAGATGTTGCTATATTTGTACACACCAACAGTAATCAAAAGTGCCTGATGCCTTCATAAAATTTGAAGTGAGAAAAAAAATATAGTTTTGTGGTTTAACCATGCATTTTGTTTTATCAGGGACACAAGGATTAAAAACAAAACAAAACAAACCCATAAGCTTGTGAATAAGTGGTGGAGGAAATGCCCTATTTTTTTTCTTGGCAAATACCTGTATAGAGTTAATGTTATGTCGGTGTGCTATTATCCTAGGTACGTGTGTGTATGTGTGTATATATGTTTGTGTGTGTATATATGTACATGTTATGGGTGTATATCTATATATACACACACACAATATATATTAATGTGGTCTAGGAAAATGTAGCAATTAAGGAATGTTTAAATAAAGTACTATGTGTTTTCCAGTTTGCAACAGGATGTCATAGGACAGTGGGCACCTTGCAGTGAGTTTTTAACCCACACCTGAGAAATTTGGAGTAAATGAACCAGTCAGGACTAAGGTGGGATCCAGATAATGTCTTTGATTGCAAGAACAAGGATTACAGTAATTCAGTGGGTTGCTTGTGAGCCATAATCATTCCACAGATGGAGAAACATATGACTAGCTGGTTGGTTTTTGTTTTTTTTTTAACTCTTTCGTACTGTAATGCCGTTTTGACATTTAACCCACTAACGTTGCGACTGCATACCTCCATGATGTGTAATTCAGTGGAACGTGGATCAAAGATAGGTTTATTTAAACCCCCTGACAGCTAAAGAATATTGTATTAGTTGGTGATTTGAACACTAATTGTTAATATTTAAAGGAGTATTTTTAATAGAATGCATTATGCATTCCAGGACCACTAGAATTTAGCAAATGTGAAATGAACCCTTTTTAAGAGTGTTGCACAATTTCCTAAAATTATATTTTATATATATATATTATATATATATTTTTATGCAAATATTAAACATCTTTGATCTGGTTGTCACACTGCATTTACAATTTCAGTACTGTACTTTATTTAAATGGAATCACTTTACATTGGAACAGTAACTATTCACTTTCATTTCCTCTCCCAAAAGACCAGCAGGGGGAAAACAGATCAACCTCCGCTGTCGTTTTCAATTCAGTGCCATCTCTGAAGGTGTTAAATTCTTTGTTGGGCTTTGAAAACCTAATGACTAAGTGACACTTGACGCTAATATTTTGCTTGTTCTTACTGAGAAAAAAACCCCAAAAATCAAAAAAAAAAAACCCCACCCCAAAAGTAAAGGGAATTCAGGCTTTTGAACGAAAGCTCGCTGTGCCCTGCCAGGTTGCAGGCAGGGTCTGGCTCTGGAGGGGGCAGGGGCAAGGGAGAGGACTGACTCGCCTCCCGGCAGCGTGTTTTCCCCACGGAGCGAGTGAGGTACATCTATTTTTGTCGCGCTTTGTACTTTTCACTCTGGAGGCGATTTAACAGGAACCCGATTTGTTTACTGCAGCACCTTCCCCGCCAGTCCTCCGGGAAGCGTACGAGCTGGTTCATGGCCGTTCGCGGCGTTGACTGGTGGACCTCGTCCCCCACCTACCTTCCCCCCCCCCTCCGGCGCTGGCTGCAGCCTCCCGCCGGGCTTCGTGTCCCCTGGGCCCTGCGGGGTCCCCCTCCAGCCCCCCAGAAGGGTGCGGGCTGGGTGCTCCTGCCCCGCTATTTGGCCCTTGCCTCCGGCCTCTGGGAGGGTTTGCTAGCGGAAGCTACGGGGAGGGCTGGGGAAATAGGATCAGCTGGTAATGTGGTATGTCTTCTCTCGCCACAACTATTTGCAGCAAATAAATGAGTCATCCGCTCTTTAAAAGGGTTTGAGAATCTATAGCTGTGCCACAACCGCAGGACGCTGATAGTACATGACACGGTGTATTTTTCCTTTGAAGGACCTTTTTTTTTTTTTTTCCATTGCTTGAAAGAAAGTTTTGATTTGCTTCCTCTCAGCTCAAATTTTATTGTGTTTGGTTTTGTTTTTTTTTTAATGATTGACAGCAGCTAGTTACCCTATAGTGCATGCAGCAGGGCTCTGAGCTAAACTGCACCTTTCAGCGTTTGCATTTTGATACATATATAATATGTTTTTATATATATTATATAGGTATTCCGGATCTGTTTTGCATATGTTAATGATCAAGTGGTGGAACTGGTGGAGCTTTGTTTTATCTGTGGCTGGTAGCTTAAAAGGTGCCTGGTCTTAGAGGTGGGAAGAAGGCGTGAGTTCAGGCCAAGAGTAAAATAAGAACCCCTTTTCAAAGCTGGCTTATTTCTGCGGTTTGCACACCTTCCCCTCCATAAAGTCTGACTTTTTATTTTTTTTTTAAACTGGTTTTTCCCCTCCTCTTCAGCACACTGGTACTTTTAAAGTTAACGACCGCATTCTTGCTTTGTAGGCTTCATTTTTCCCATCCAATCAGATGTAAGGTTAGAACTTGTGCTGCAAGACACAGTGCCCCTTTTAAAGAGCTGAACTGATTAAAAACATTGACCTGATTACAGTAAAACTGTTTGTGCCGCAGCTGAATTTACTGCTGACCAACAGGGCACTACACTTGGTTAAACGTAGCGATCGTGGAACAACTGAGAGCTTTGAAATTATTTTTTTTTTCCCCTAAGATGTAGCTGTCCTCCTAAACGCAAGAACATTTCTTCTAAAAATAGAAGGGCAATTAGAAGACCAAAAAGATATTTCTCTAGTTTCTCTTATTGCACTTAAAATGTTTTTTTTGTCTTGCACAAAGGTCTTCACACAAATCTACACACCTCTGATTAAATGCTTGGTTTGCATCATGTCAGAAGCTCCTACCAGTTCAAAAAAAAAAAAAAAAAGCTTTTTTTTTTTTTTGTTGAGAAAATGAAGTGTGTTAGATAAAACTGCACAGAAAAGGAAAAACTGTAATTGCATATTCAGCTCCTATTTGGATATATTCTTTTGTACGGTTTTCTTTATGCAGAGAGTTTACCTTGCAAGAAAGAAAATCAGTGTACTGTTTTGCTGTTGTAATAATGGTTTGCTAACAAAATAAATAGTAAAAAAAAAAATTAAAAAAAAGCCTGCAAATTTCAAGACAGCTTGGCTAAAGCACTGCAGGCTCCTGCAGTCTGTAGGAGTCTGTGCAGGTTTGCTTTCCCTCAGATTTCCTTACAACTGTTGCCTTCTGCAAGGCATCCTGTTGCAGCAAACTGCTCCTTGGATTGCTCTTTTGGAACATTTTGACTATAGGCTTTGTCACAGACAGAAAAAGAGCTGATGGAAAACAGACTCTAGAGGGAACAGATTGTGAATTTTGTTTACAGCATCCAATATTTGGATTTTTTTTGTAAATAAAAAGAAGTTATTTTTTTCTATTGATTTGTGTCTGCTGTCTTCCGTGTCTGAAATAGCTCTGGCCTGCTCCTAAGGAATACCAAGTTCGGTTTCATTAAAAAAGGACAAGGGCAGCACTTTTCTGAGAGGAGCAGCGTTCGGCCGCTTTCCGATTGGGGCCCAAGGCGGTTTGCAAAGCCCTGCCTCGCGCCAGCCAGCTTTGACTGGCTGCACTCCGCTGCAGGGGAACCTCCCCAGCCAGTGCCAAAAATACTCACCCTAGCCTTGGTCGGGCCGTGCAAATGGTCCGAGATCTGAAAACCGAAACAACGCTGCAGCTGCCCCGCGCTCTTGCTGCTTTCCCAGTTTAGAACCCGGTACCGGGACCAAAACCTTTTTGTGATACCTGGGACTTGTGCATCGCGAACCACCGTGCTGACGGTAACGCGAGGGTCCTGATGCCCTTGAGATGTATTTGAGAGGGGCTGACGCCTCCACCCTACTGTTTTGGTAGGCCTGGGAGGCAGTGGGGTGCTGCTCCCTGGGTGTGAAGGTGGGGTCCGTCTGTAGCAGATGGGTGCTGCGGGTGCTGCAGCTCAGGGAGCTGCTGGGGAGCAGGGATGCACATGCCGGTTTGATTCAGCTGCTGATTCAGTCCAGTTCTTCCCACAGATTCAACGTTTACTCTCCTTCCCTGCCCTTCAATGCTGTCCTTGTCAGCAGAGGTATTTTCTGTTTGCCGTGTTTACAGGGGAGATGCCTCTGTAATGAAGGCTAATTTCCTCAAAAGGCACTTCAAGGGTATATAAAATATTAATTTACAATGCTCGTGGCAATACTTTTTCAACCAGGGTGCCTCAGACTGACCCAAATTTGAAAAACATTGACTAAGACTCTGCAGTATGTCGCTGTTACTAGGCTCATTCATACCTGGGCGCGGGGCTTGGAAGGCTCACACCAGCTAAGCACCAGCGTGAATGCGCTTATTCTAATGATGAGTGAACCTGTATTCCCCTGTAAAAACAAACAAACAAACAAGCTGCTGGGACTGCTCGTTTTTCCAGGCGCAGGAGCAGCCCCCTTGACGAATGCCGGGCGCCTTCTGCACAGAGCCTCTTTTGAAACCTGCCGGGCACAGGATGGGACCGTCGGCCAGCCTGGCCCGGAGAGGGGGATGCGCTTGGCATCCCTGCCCGTGCAGCGTCACCTTTCCTTCTACATTGCTGCCAGGAAAGGGAGGGGGACGTGGCCTAATGCTTCCTCCTGTTAACGTGCTCAGTCATAAAATATTTTAGGCAGTCTGACAAAGGCGACTTCAATGCCCAAAAGCGCAGATGGAACTCAGGGGATTGGAAACCATCTAAATCCAAATGCCTTTGCTAGTCTGTCAAAATCCAAGCCCGAGTGGGTGCTCTTATGCTTTGGAGTGAGTTAATTCCAGTTCCTCTGCTTAAAGTTTGGGGGAATTTTTTTGAGAGATGAACGCCAGTTGAGCATCGGGAGCATGGTGTGTCCTCCCTCCCAAACCAAGCAGGAGTATGATGGGGACTGAGCCAGCTGAATGCTATGCTTTAGTAGGTTGTGTTTTTAAGGAGGGAGGAACGTTTGGGACAGTGGAAGAGGG